TCGACAATTGCGGAACTAGTCAAATGTTACACCCATGCTCAATCTTTAAAGAGATGGGATGAAATCAAAGGATGTAATCTTACCAGGATCAACTTGGGCCACCCTGGGAAGCTGGCGCCGAAGAAATATCTGGCGATGACCAGGAAAAATCTACGCCTTACAGTAGGATTTCTGACTGGCCACTGTCAACTAAGGAAACACCTCCATAATATACGGCAAGTAGACACACATCTATGCAGGATGTGTGAACAGGAAGATGAGACTGTCAGGCATGTCCTGTGCGAGTGCCCGGAGTTATCGTCAATAAGAGAGTGTGTGTTCGGCGAGTCTTGGTCTACACCTGCCGATATAAAGGAGATGTCTCCAGTGACCTGTCCACCTTTCTGGAAACAACAGGATGGACGATGACCTAGGAGGACAACTCCTCGGGAGGATGTACAATGGGTCACATGTGGCCTAAGTGCGTGAGCTTACACTCACCCTCCCTACTCTACATATACAGAGATACTCTTTGGTAACTCATCGTATTTATCTGAAATAATTATAATAATTGATGTGTTATCATCGTACATTTTTTCAAGAACAAAACACAAGCACAACAGAAAAATTCTAAAGGCGCTCTTGAAGCGGAGCCTACGCGAAAGTAGCGATTCAAATTAAATTCCACTGTCTGGCGATTTCCGCCAAACACTGCCAGTAATTCCAAGATCAACGGCTACCGACGAAATAAACGCTCGCCTCAAATCATCGAATCTATGGCGCAATGTGAAGAAACTTCAGCTGACGACAAACATAAGAGTTGCATTGCTTAGTGATACATCTGCTGAAGATTTCTCTGAGCGATTGCTGACTGTCGGTAATGGTCGAGTACCGGTCGACAAATCGAGCGGATTGATTTCATTTCCTCAGAATTTCTGTAAATTTGTCTCATCGAACTTGTCAGCAAAGTATTCCCAAACATAATTACTAACTACAAAAATAATGAATGGTTGAGTGAGCGGGCAATTTTAGCGGCTGAGAATAAAGATGTGGATGACCTAAACTACATAATTCAGAATGATATCATTCGAACAACCATTCATTCAAATCAATTGACTGCACAATTTACGCCTGAAGATTGGCTCCGTAGTCAACATGCTTCGAAACATATACCCACCAAAACTTTGCGGTGCTACACGTTTGGTGGTAAGTAAATTGATCAACAATGTGATTTACGCCTCGATACTCAAAGAAAAATTCGAAGGTGAGGAAGTTCTCATTCCGAGGATACCGATGATCCCAACCGATATGCCGTTTGAGTTTGAAAGACTTCAATTTCCAATTCGTCTTGCACTCGCCATGACCATCAAATCACAAGGCCAATCCTCGAAAGTTTGTGGTCTGAGTCTGGAAAATCAATGTTTTTCACATGGTAAATTATATGTGGCCTGTTCACGGGTCGGAAGACCATCTGCGTTGTTTATACTTGTGCCTAATAATAAAACAAAAAATGTGTATCACAAGGTGCTTAACTGAAGAGTGCAACCTAATGAAGAATAATTGAAATACCTGATTAATAAAAAAATTAAATCAATATAATAAAAAATGTGCTTTTTTATTGCCTCTTAGGCAGAACGAAGTTCGCATAAACAGCTAGTTCATTTATGAAATGAAAAGAATCGGTGCTAGGACTGACCCTTGGGGTGACCTTCTGTAACGAGAAAGTTATGTCATAAAGAGCAACGTATTGGTCTCTCAAACTGAGCCACTGATGTGGGATACCTCTATTTCTGTATTCCTGGAGATTATTCACTAGAATAGTATAATTCACACAGTCGAATACCCTGCTGAGATCACAAAAGACTTCAACAATGGACTTTGGTTTCGAAGAGTTATTGAATTTCGTATCCTTGTTCTTTATTTGTTTTTTTTTGTTCAGATTTTTTGTTATTTCAAGTTGACGACTCATTGACAACAATAATTTTGATAAAATCGACATTTCTCATGTATCCTGATTATGATAAAAAATGTTTAGCTTACCACAAGTTCAGCAGAAACGGGGTTGAATGATAGGCAATCCACTGAACTATTAGAATGGGGATGCTCTCGAAAACTGATTATTTTTCCAGTGTTGACATTCCATATTGTCGAATATATTGGCCCTCCCACCGCCAGCAATGAGTCCCTCCAGGGATGCCAGTCAACAGCCTGAGAGCATGAAAATCATAGGTGATCAACAAATATACAACAGTTACTCTTGTTACAGTGAATTCACAAAGATGATCGACGTAATAAAATTCGCCAAAAAAATTAATTTTGGAGTAATATAATTTCACTAAGAAATGATGCGGTTGACAATTTTTCATGATGAATTTCACTAGTTCCTACTTCCATTGTCCTATATCAGGAGTCTCCAAACTACGGCCCGTGGGTCAAATCCGGCCCGCCAGTGTCATCAATCCGGCCCGCGATAGCCAATGATTTACTGTCATCAATCTGAGTCGCGACAGCCAATGATTACCTAATTGTTGTTACTAAATGCTGTGATGAGTTGAAGAAGAAAACACAGAATGATAATCACTCGGTTTTATTTACTTGCAAGGTAAAACTTAACGACAGAAATGATGACAAACTTAGAGTGAATAGCTGAAGTATCAATCATATTGAGCAATAAAAACATAATAAATATAATAAAACGAATATATGTAAACATATAATGATAGTAAAAAGAAATGATAAAAATGATATGAAATTATTCAAAAAAGAATAAAAAATCAGAAAATATTCCAAATCAAGCTACTTCACAACGTTTCTATTGTTAGTATTTATCCGCAATCGCCTTTGGGTGATAACTGAACTATTTCTCTGAGAGATTCTATTCGAAGGTCATTTGAGTGCATTCATCTATCCTCTTCATCCCTCACTTCGCTTCACAGGTTTAGCGGGGGTGGATCGTTTTTCCCCTCGATTAAAGTTTTCCATATGTTGCGTATCTCTTTGTAAGCCTAGCTGAATACGTTGTTGTACAACATGTATGCGGCTTCTTTGATCCTCTTCTTGAACCAGTGTTCCTCTCTGTAGATGGTATCAGCTTTGGATCACTTGATGTTATGTTGCTATTCCCGATTTGCTGGTTTCTCCTCGTTGTGTGTTTCTCTTGTGCTCGACATTGCGGACTTTCAATAGCCTCTCACAATAGCCTCTCACTCACAGAGTATCTGGTGAATGCAATTCCTGAAATCGTAGAACGCATTTGGTGGCCTGGTTTTTGTAAGGCTGCTACGAATGGTATTTTTGGATCTGAAGCAGGTTCTATTCATCCTTTCGACAAACCTCTGACGTTTGGAAGGGCAAGCATTGTTTGTGACGGCTTCTCTTTCTGGCGAGGCTCTTGCTGTCTTCTAGCCAAAGTCTGTTCCACCATTGTTTTGGAGTAATCACTCCGTTGAAGATCTTTTCTGATGATGCCTAGTTCCTTCTCCAGACCTTCCTACAGAGTACGAAATCAACATCCACTAGGGTCTTGATTTCTCTGGATTAATGGTGGTGGTTAGATTCGTGATTATCAAAATCACGAGTGGGTTTGTGAATGGGTGTTTGATATACAGATGTTTCCCACTTAGTGTCTGTCGTCTTCACAAATACGTCTGAGAATGGCAATTCGATGTGAACTCCCTTTTCCATTTTGAAGGTGATGAAAGATTCTACGCTATTGATGAGCTAATTCTGTATTACCATGATTCCATACATGAAGGTATCGTCAACGTATATCAATCAGACTCAGGGCTTCAATGGAGAGAGTTTCGAACCACTCCATCTATATGTTAGCTATAACTGGTGAAAATGGCGATCCCATTGGCAACCATTCATCATGTGTGGAAAATACGACCTCCATTGGAACTAGCAGTTCCGTACATAGCATCCTATTAATTCTATGATTACTCATATAGGTAAATTCGTTCATCCAGGTCCTCGTCTTCGGATAGCCTCCGCTGTATGATTTGAATTGCTTCTTCGACAGAAACGTTGGTATGAAGGTTTTTTTGCCCAATATATATGATATTTCAGCTATTCAGTCTGATTTTATTTGTTCCATCATAGATTTCGAATCATATCAGAATTATATCAGACAATAGAAATCCGAAATAGTGAAAGTGAAGAATTATACTCAACTCGCATCCTAACTAGTAATATCTTGCATGGAATAATCATTCATTTCTTCACTGTTCTCAGTTTCTTCATTCAATATGAATGAAAAATGTATGGAATGATCATTTATTTCTTCACTGTACTCAGTTTTTTCATTCAATATTTTGAAAATAAACAGTTTGTCTTTCACAGATAGGCGTTCAAACACTATCACGCTCATGAAAGAATTTCTATTGCGTTTCAGAAGTATTCTCATACATGTTTTTCTTTGGCTGAGATTTCATCAAATAGGCACCAGATTGGTGCTGAAGAAAAAATAAGGCAAATGTCTCACCTTTGTGGGTCCATTATATTCCATGTCTGCGTTTGGGAGGAAATCCGGCCAAATCCATGTTTTCACTTGTTTATCTATTCCTGTGGAGACCATTCCTCGTTCTTTACAAGAGAGTTTGATGCTGATAATATCTTTGCAGTGAGCAGAAGGACACGTTTTAATGCAAGTCAGATTTGAAGACCAATAACAAACACATCCATTGGAACATCCTGTTATCAAAAAATTGTTTGCTGCCCACTCTATTGCTGTTATGGTGCAATTCAACGAGCAGCGACACACAGCTTGAGCAGTAGTCTAGAAATAATATATCATATGTTAAAAAGTACATATCCATAGATGCAACCAAAGTTTGATATTCCTGAAGATCATAACTTATATACACGGTATCTAACACCAAACCTACGTTTTTTCAAATAGAATACTTCAGACATTTTTACTGGATTAAATTTCTTGAAGAGAGTGCTTTCCAGATATACAGTGTGTAACAACGAAAACTTAACAGAGCCATTTTTTAATATAAAAAGTAAGATTTTCAAAAAAAGTTCGGACACGTCGATTTTTAATTGAAGGGGGACACCTTTCAGACCAATCAGATTTTTTGTAGTACTCACCCTCTCGGAAGGATGCGTCTGACGACCCTTATTTAGATAGGGAAAGTAGGTCGAGTGGCAGCTTGTTTCAAAGGTCTTTTGAATACCTTTACAACTCTGTTAAAAGACAATTTTTGAAACGATTAGTTTTCGGGATAATTTGAATTTAAAATTGCCATGTTAATAAACATTAGACAGACCACTCGGTAACTTGTATGCCTAAATAAAAAAATGTTCGAGCAGTTCTTCTTATCGGTTTTTTGTTAAATAAAATCCCTTTTTTAAAATCAATACTCAGTTTTCATCAGTACATCGTTCGATTGTTTTGTTCAAACGGGTCGTGTATTGTTATTTGTTTAAAAATGCCTTACACTACTGCTGAAAGGGTTTCAGTTATTTCTTTATTTTTCAGAAACGACCAAAATGCTAATAGATCATCAATTTAATTTAACGAGCAAAACCTTGGTAAACACCTAAACAGAAATCACGTTCTGGATTTGGTCACAAAATTCAGGGAGACAGGTTTGGTTTTAAATAAGAAAAGAAATGTTCAGAGAAGGGTAGTGAATGAAGTTTATCAGAAGTTCATCAGCAATGGCCGGAATAAGCCATATGAGCGCATGGAGAATCCTTAAAAACCACAAATTCCATTCTTACAAAATTAAACTTGTTCATGAATCCAATAAGGATGATTTCGACTGAAGACAGGAGTTCTGAGAGGGCATGAGTAAGAGATTAATGCATAATCCCGAGCTGCTTTATAACATCTTTTTTTCGGACGAAAGCTCATTTTATTTAAATGGTTGCGTGAACCGTCACAATTGCCGTTATTGGTCGGATGGCAACCCAAGATAATACGCAGAAATACATACCCAACATCCCCAAAAGTTGAATGTCTGGGCCAGAATATTAGGCAATTATATTATAGGTCAATTTTTCATTGATAGAAATTTAACCGGTGATTCTTATTTACAACTTCTTGAAGAGGAAATGCAACCTCGTATAGTTGTAATAATTGAACAGGATCCAAGATGTCAAGATGAATTTATCCATTTTCAACAAGACGGTGCACGACCCCATCATACCCAGCAGGTTCGAAATTTTTTGAATAATAATTTTGAAGGACAATGGATTGGCAGAAGAGGTCCAATTAAATGGCCAGCACGATCACCAGATTTAACACAACTGGACTACTTTTGGTGGTGATATTTGAAGTCTGAAGTTTATTTTACACAGCCAGCCAATTTGGATGAATTACGTCGTAGAAATATTGATGAATGCCGAGCTATAACTCCTGAGATGTTGAATAATGTAAGAGCAGAATTCGAACAAAATCTTTATTGTTGCATGGAGCCAAATGGCGCACTTTTTGAACATTTACTCTAAATTTCTTATGTGAGTTACCCTTATAAGGTGTTACTTTTTTTTGAGTGTGCTTTAAAAACAATTAATGGGATTTATCAACTCTAAAACAGTTTTCTAAACTTTTCTGTGTCATCAGCAGTCAAGGAAATAAGCAGGTTGTATTCGTTGTGGAGGTAAGTTTTTAGTATGCTTCACTTTTTTATCAGAAGCATAAAATATCCACATCAAAAGGCAACCTTCATAAGGAGGTGCCACTCAATTTACCTAAAATGTAAGGGTGGTAACCAACCCCATCCTCCGAAAAAATCTCCTCGTAATAAACAAATAATTCTTACATTTTTACGAAATCAAATAGACACGTATTAGCAGGTTGTCATAAAAAGCAAAATTTTTTTTTTCTGAAAGTTCTAAACGTAAATTGTACCAGAAAAATAATTTGAGTTATTTTAAAAAGAGTTGAACTCAATAAAAATACCTTTAAATCTTCAAATTATCTCGAAAACTATTCGTTACAAAAATGTTCTTTCAACAGAGTTGTAAAGGTATTCGAAAGACCTTTAAAACAAGGTGCCACTCGACCTATTTTCCTTATATAAATAAGAGTCGTCGGACGCACTCCTCCGAGGGGGTGCGTACTACAAAAAATTTGATTAGTCTGAAAGATGTCCCCCTTTAATTAGAAATCGACGTTTCCGAGCTCCTTTCAAAAATCTAACTTTTCAACGGTTCTGTTTAGTTTTCGTTGTTACACACTGTATAGGTTGTATAGGGTTCATTTAAAATCAAATATCTTTCACTAAATGAAATAAAATGAGAAAACTTTCCTACCCAATATCCTGAAAGTGCATGTTTTGTTTTCTGACTAATCCCACTTAAAAGTAATGACATGGTGAATAGACATAATATGCATTACTACTCAACTGAAAACCCCCATTGGATGAGAGAAGCCGATAACGAAAACATTTGGTCGATAAATGTTTGAAAGGCATGGGAATCAGGGTATAGGACCATATTTCCTTGATAGGCCTCTGAATGGACAAATTCATAGAGATTTTCTTCGAAATGATACATCAAATTTATTAGTGGATGTACCGATTGACACCGGGCATAGGTTATATGACCAACAAGATTGTGCACCTTCCCTCACCAGAAACGATTTTTGACAGGTAGTTTAGGAATAATTAGATCGGAAGAAATTGGCCCGTTCACTGGGCAGCACGATCCCCATATCTCATGCCTCTAGATGTCTATCTGTAGGTATATAATGAAGGAGGGTTATATTGAGGAGAACCAACGACATCAAAAGATATGAAGAATGGGATTAGAGAAGTTTTTTGAGATCAACCAATTAAAGTTAGAAGGGAAATAGACAGCATTCATGCCGAGCTCAGAATGAAAAATAGTTCGAAAATCTTTTGTGAATTTGTACATTTCGAAAGTGTTTGTTTTCATTCTGTTAAAAATAAAAAAAGCGATTTATTTCCAACAGGAGTACCCAGTTAGAGGAAATGACATTATTACAGAGTATATATTAAATAAATGTTAATGGAATATATAAATGTATAAAAGTAAATGCTAAAACAAAGTATATATAAAATATTCGTATAAGTAGAATTTCAAGAGAGGAATGAAAAATTGAGTATATACACAAAAAGTTACAAATCATGCAATGTAGCAGTACTCACACAAATTTTATTTATAGTATTATTGAAAGTGATTCAATGGTACAACATACCAACGCGTTCAGAGAGTCGAAATGATTATCGCAGTGTTCACAGATTTTATTGAAGCTACTGAACATAAAATTCGATGGTGATAGTAGCATAATATTTGTACGTGATGCTTCGCAATAGAATTTCAGATTGTGTCGACCTTCACTTCTTGGTACTAAGAAATTGATCTCGGGTAAAAGAACCGTACTGTCAATATTGTTGTTTAGTTATTTATGCAGGAATTTTATACCAAGGATAACTCTCCTATTTTCCAAAGATGTCATATCAAATCGTGTCAACAAAATGTTATGATCGATGCCTCTCGTGGGGTATTGACCATCAACTTTTAGACATAAGTATTTTAGGTACTTCCTTTGCACGCTCTCAATTAATGTTTTTTGGTAGTCGTAAACTGGATTCCATAACACAGAGCCATATTCTAACTTATATCTGGCATACGCAAATTATAGCAATTTTAAGGTGGCAATACTTTGAAGTTTTTACCATTTCTGTAAATAAATCAAAGCATCCTATTTGCATCAGCAGTCATCTTTTATCTCATGTACGCGGTTGATTGTAGTTTTTTTGATTGAATAATCGTACAATAAAGTTCGCTTTTTTGTTGTTAATTATATTATTTCACATTTGGATACGTTCAGTTTCAGACCAACGTCCAGTTGTACACCAAAGTTTGATTACATTTAATTCATGTTGTACACTTCGGCAGTCAGTAACGTCGTCAATTTTATAATATAGTTTCAGATCGTCTGCAAATAGTAGGCTAGAAATATTCAAAGAGGTTGCCAAGTCATTATTAATAATTAAAAATAAAAGAGGTCCAACATTAGAACCTTATGGTACCCCAGATGTAACTACGTACTGGGCCGATTTGACAGATTCATATTCGTTTGTAAAACAAGAGCGAAAACTTCAGATGAATTAGAAGTATCAGAATTAAATCAAGCTGAAAAAAATCTACTTAGCAGATGTCGAAAGGAAACATTTAATGCAGAAATGACATCTTTCAGAACTCACGGCATTGTGAAAAATACGAGTTGTCTTTATACATTGGATTGTTTCCTTGATGAAGAATGCTTGATCAGATTGGGTGGAAGATTGGATAATTACTTTTAGATGAATATGTAAAAAGACCAATAATTTTAGACCCGAAACACAAAAATACGAAACTGCTTATATTTTATTATCACGAGAAGTTCAATCACCATGGACAAGACACTGTATTCAATAGCATAAAACAAAAGTTTTGGATATTACGAATGCGACAAGCTATCCGCAGTTGCTGGGCAAACTGCCAAAAGTGTAAGAACAGGAAATCCTTGCTGAAACCTCCGATTATGGGATAGCTTCCAACATGTAGAATAGAACGGACAGTGAGACCTTTAATAAAAACCGGAATTGATTATTTTGGACCTCTTTTAGTTTCAGTCAAGAGAAGTCGGGAGAAGCGATATGGGGTGATATTCACTTGTATGGTGACACGAGCAATTCACTTAGAGATTGCACACGACCTGAGCACGGATGGTTTCATTCATGTTTTTCGACAATTTGGTAGCAGACGAGGTTTTCAGCAAGAAATTTATAGTGACAATGGAGGGAATTTTAAAGGAAGTAACAAAGAACTTCAATAAGGTTTGGGATCGTTTGACCAAAATAAAATAAAGGAATTTTGTACGCTGAAAAATGTGAAGTGGTTTTTCAACCCGCCATTAGCTCCTTTCATGGGTGGATCATGGAAGAGTTTGATATGTTTTACAGTATTTGCAGAAGTTGAGAATATTTTCAACTCGAGACCACTTACCCATGTACCCAATGATCCAGATGATATGGAGGCTCTAACTCCAAATCATTTCTTGATTGAAACTTGTTCTTCAGCGTTACCTTGTGCTAAAACTGATGAACGGGATTTGTGTTTATTGAACAAATGGAAGGCAGCACGAAAGCTCACAGATTTATTTTGGCAAAGGTGGGCTAAAGAATATCCACCATCTCTAGCAAAATGAGATGAATGGATCAGATTTGAAGTAATTCCTTTCATCCGAATAGATTACTGCGGGAGAGAATGTTCAGTATTCATATTCATTATTATTTGTTTACTCTCTCATTTACCCTGTATATAATTATATTTAGTTTGATGTTCAGTTGTTGTAACTTAAACAAAGAGAATAAAAAAAAACTTTCTTGTCTGACATTGAATTTCAATATTTCGTTCTTCGAGACCGGATTTAACTTAGATATTTCAGGTAAAACACAACAAGTATATATTCAGCTTGTCAAACATGACACTGTCATATTTTATCCATGATATCTAAAAATGATCTACCTACTTTGAATGATTCGAAGTCCCATATTGCGATTTCCCGATTCCTCAGCGCCATCGCAAAATGTGTGCCTTCTTTGTTCCATTTGATGCAATTCTTAACCTTGCGGCCCGTGTTGGTTACCCTTCTGGAAACTTTCTGTTCGGGGTGCCACAAATGAACCTCACCATCATAGGTCGCAGCTATATAACCTTTCTTGCCCCAATCCACTACTTGGTGACCTACATTTACATTGCAAATTATTACTTGGTATTTCAATAATTGAATCATTTGCAGATGAGAAATCAGGTTAAAAGAAAGCTGTTGAAATTTCATGATATTCTACTCATGAGTTTGAGAGTTATTGTGCTAAGAGTGACACTATTTTTGTTGCAATCACTTGAAAAGTGTTATACAGTGTGTAACAACGAAAACTTAACACAGCCGTTTTTGAATATAAAAAGTAAGATTTTCTAAAAAAACTCGGACACGTCGATTTCTGATTAAAGAGGGACACCTTTCAGACTAATCAGATTTTTTGTAGTACGCACCCCCTCGTAGGGGTGCGTCCAACAACCCTCATTTAGATAGGGAAAGTAGTTCGAGTGGTACCTTGTTTTAAAGGTCTTTCAAATACTTTTACATCTCTGTTGAAAGAAAATTTTTGTAACGATTGGTTTTCGAGATAATTTGAAGATTTAAAGGTATTTTTATTGATTTCAACACTTTTTAAAATGAATCAAATTGTTTTTAAGGTACAATTTACGTTCAGAACTTTCATAAAAAAAAACTGCTTTTTATGACAACCTGCTAATATGTGTTCATTTGATTTCGTGAAAAAGTAAGAATTATTTGTTTATTACGAGATTTTTTCGGGAGATGGGGTTGGTTACCACCCTTACATTTTAGGTAAATTGAGTAGCACCTTCTTATGAAGGTTGCCTTTTGACGTGGATATTTTATGCTTCTTATGAAAAAGTGAATCATACTAAAAACTTACCTACACAACGAATACAACCTGCTGATTTACTTGAATGCTGATGACACAGAAAAGTTTAAAACACTTTTTTAGGGTTAATAAATCCCAAAAATTGTTTTGAAAGCACACACAAAAAAAGTAACACCTAATAAGGGTAACTCACATAGGATATTTAGAGTAAATGTTCAAAATGTGCGCCATTTTGCTCCATGCAACAATAAAGATTTTGTTCGAATTTTGCTCTTACATTATTCAACATCTCAGTAGTTATAGCTCGGCATTCAGTGGTGTTGAATCTGGTGATCGTGGTGGCCATTCAATTGGACCTCTTCTGCCAATTCATTGTCCTTCAAAACGATTATTCAAAAAATTTCGAACTTACTGGGCATAATGGGATGGTGCACCGTCTTGTTGAAAATGGATAAATTCATCTTGATATCTTGGATCCTATTCAATTATTTCAACTATACGAGGTTGTATTGCCTCTTCAAGAAATTGTGAATAAGAATCACCGGTTAAATTTCCATCAATGAAAAATGGACCTATAATATTATTGACCAATATTCCGGCCCAGACATTCAACTTTTGAGGATGTTGGGTATGTATTTCTACGTATTGTCTTGGGTTTCCATCCGACCAATAACGGCAATTGTGACGGTTCACGAAACCATTTAAATAAAATGAGCTTTTGTCCGAGAAACAGATGTTATAAAGCAGCTCGGGATTTTGCATTAATCTCTCACTCATCCCCCCACAAAACTCCTGTCTTCGGTCAAAATCATCCTCATCGAGTTTATGAACAAGTTTAATTTTGTAAGGATGGAATTTGTGGTTTTTAAGGATTCTCCATGCGCTAAGACGGCTTATTCCGACCATTGCTGATAAACCTCTGGTACTTAACCTGGGATTGGCGATGACTTGACCAATCACTCCAATCGCATTATCGTCATTCACCACCCTTCTCTGATCATTTCTCTTCTTATTTAAAACAGAACCTGTCTCCCTGAATTTTGTGACCAAATTCAGAACGTGATTTCTGCTTAGGTGTTTACCAGGGTTTCGCTCGTTAAATAATATTGATGTTCTATTAGCATTTTGGTCGTTGCCAAAAAATAAAGCAATAACTGAAACCCTTTCAGCAGTAGTGTAAGGCATTTTTAAACAAATAACAATACACGACCCGTTTAAACAAAACAATCGAACGAAGTACTAATGAAAACTGGAAGAAGAGGAGTGGTTATTGATTTAAAAAAAGGGATTTTATTTAACAAAAAACTGATAAGATTTTTTTTTAGGCATACAAGTTACGGAGTGGTCTGTCTAATGCATTATTATTAACATGGCATTTTTAACTTCAAATTATCTCGAAAACTAATCGTTACAAAAATGTTCTTTTAAGAAAGTTGTGAAGGTATTCGAAAGACTTTTAAAACAAGGTTCCACTCGACCTACTTTCCCTATCTAAATAAAGGTGGTCGGACGCACCCCTCCGAGGGGGTGCGTACTACGAAAAATCTGATTAGTCTGAAAGGTGTCCCGCTTCAATTAGAAATCGACGTGTCCAAGCTTTTTTTAAAAATCTTACTTTTCATATTCAAAACCGGCTCTGTTAAGTTTTCGTTGTTACACACTGTATGGACTCCGCTCCATCAAACGTGGTCGTAGAGACATCGATGACGCAGAAACTAAGGGCGTCCAAATGAGGCAGTAAACAAGAAAACAAGGAGAAAATTGCTTGAGTTAGCTGACATTGTAAATATATCAAAAAAATACATTGGCTCCATATTGCATCAGCATTTGACTATACGAAAGCTCTGTTCGGAAGTAGGTGCCGCACGAGATCAAAAACAAGAACGTCTTGATAATTCAGAACAGTGTTTGGCCATGTTTGAACATAGTAGAGCAGAATATTTGCGTTGATATGTGACAATGGAAGAAACATGGATCCATCACTTCAATTCGCAAACTAAATGATCGTCAGCAGAGTAGAGAGCGACTGATGAACCTCCTTCAAAGCGCCCAGTAGCACAACAATTGGCTGGAAAGATAATGACCTCGGTATTTTGGGATGAACTACGATGTCTAACAGGCCTTCTTACAAGTCAGTGTATGTATCTGCATTTCAATCATCAAATGCAGAGACTTGGACTATCGGAAGACAGTGTGTGTCACCTCTGTTTGGAAAATTATGAAACAGCAGAGCACATACTTTGATTTGGCTCACAGCGACTACTGGCTGTACGCAGACCTAAAAAATATGCTCATCAGTAACAAATTTCGCTCGAATGAAGAGGTTATTGCTGAAACTGGGGCCTATTTTGAGGCAAAAGATGAATCGTTCTACAAAAGTGATATTGTAATGTTAGAGCGGCACTGAAATAATTGTGTGGCTCTTGATGGAAATTACGCTGATGAATAAAGCCAATTTTGAAAAAAAGAAAACGTTTTCTTTCTTAGGCTCGCCCGGATCTTCTCAACCCAAGTATATAAAACAAGGTTTCATTATCCTATTCGCAGATGACACTACCTTAACAGTTTCCTGAAATACTACGGAGGAGCTAGAAAACAACATTAATACAATCATGGATGACATGATTTCTTGGAGTGATAGTAATCAACCAAAACTGAATGAAACTAAAACATTACATTTAGGCCTTGCGTCATGGAAAACAGTGAAACCTAACCACATCCAACTCTCGGAAATAGCCAAACTCCTTGGTATGTTTATAGATAAAAGCTTGTCTTGGGAGCCCCATTTTGATCATGTCTGCAAAAAATTGAATCAAGCAATATTTGCAATATAACAGATCGAAGACGTGCTGAGTTGAGATGGTGTCAGATTAATTAGAACTATCTTTAATAATGCACTCAGGGATAGCTGTAGACCTGCTTTCTGCAAGAACAAGATGCTAACGTTACCGTATATCTATATATACAGTGTGTCAATTTCAAAACTTACAATGGGCTGTATCTCACGAACGAAAGATGATATCGAAAAATGCTTGGAACCGTTTCTAGGATAGCAATGGGTAACTGAAGTGACATGAAAGAGAACCCCCATCAACCGCCTAGACCCCACCCACCAAAACACACACAAACCCCTACTTGTGATACATCATTTTGAAGACTATAAAAAATGTTATCCAATGATATAAATAATATTTGTACCGGGTGAGGCAATAATTGTGAAACTTTGGCTTGAATGGAATATTTAATGGGGTTTTTGTTTCTATTCCACTAGTTCGGACTACTATATAAAATGATTTGAAATCCTTGAAACACCTAAAAAAGAAGAATTGAAAATGAGTAGCTGAAAATAACAATTATATTAACCAAAATAAACCAGAAATGAAATAATAGTGAAATAAAATACAAGTTAAAATAGAACAATTGGATAAATGAGAATAACGAAATGAAAAAAGAAAGAAAATAAAAATAAAAAAGTGGAGAGATTCCAAGTCACGTTAGTTCACGACGTTTCGATTGTTAGTATCTACAATCGTCTTCGGGTGATGACTGGACTGATTCCTCCGAGAGATGACTATTTATAGGTCGTGCGAGTACTTTCACTCATCCCCAATTTCCATTTTTCGCTTCACTGGTTCCGTGGGAGATGACCGTTTTGGCGGGAGTTGGCCATTTTTCGCTTGATGATGGGTTTTCATATGTTTGACTGAATACGTTGTTGGACAGCATGTATGCGGCTTCCTTGAATTTTCTCCTAAGCCAATGTTCCTCTCTGTGCAAGATCTCAGCTTGGGACCACTCGATGTTGTATTGATGGGTCCAAACATGGTCTGCTATTCCTGATTTGCTGGTTTCCCCTCGCTGTGTGTGTTTCTTGTGTTCGGCAATACGAACATTCAATGGCCGCTTAGTTTCACCAATATAGGATTTTCCGCACTCACAGGGTATCCGGTAAATGCAATTCTTGGAATCGCAGTCCGCGTTTGGTGGCCTGGTTTTCGTGAGGCTGCTACGGATAGTGTTACCGGATCTGAAGCAGGTTCTGATGTTGTACTTGGAACCAATGCTTCTTATCCTCTCCAATAATCCTCTGATGTAGGGAAGTGCAAGCACTGGTTGTGACGGCTTCTCTTCCTTGCGAGGCTCCTGCTGTCTTCTAGCCAAAGTCTTTTCTACCTTTGCTTTGGAGTAGCCATTCCGTTGAAGATCATTTTTGAAGATGTCTAGTTCCTCCTAGAGATCTTCCTTCGTATTACAGAGCCTGGAAGCATGATGTGATAGAGTCTTGATGATTCCTCTTTTAGTCGATTGATGGTGGTTGGATTCGTGGTTCAGATACTGTCCCGTATGAGTGGGTTTTCGGTATACAGATGGGTCCCAATTAGTGTCGGTCCTCTTCACCAAAACGTCTAAGAATGGCAATTCGTTGTGGTTTTTGTTGAACTGTAAATTTATCAATCCCGTACTAAAAAAATGCTAAGGTGGCAACGGTGCAATGCAATGTTACGTCACTAACAGATAATAACACTTCAGGCAATAGCAACGTATCAACAAGAAAGGCGGGCTACCTGAGGCTACCATAAATAAAACCTACCAACTAGAAATCACCAGTCATCGGTGAATCATCAAGATGAATAAACCTCTGAAGAAGCCAGCTACTCATGCTGGCGAAACGTTAGAATACAGTTCCAAACTACGACGGCCTTCAAACCCAAATGAACACTGAACACTGAAAATGAACCAAATACTCGCACGACAATGATATTGGCTATGTTTGTCGGTCATTCAAAGTCGTCTGTTTCAGACGACTTTGAATGACCGACATTCAGTGTACTCACATAAATGGGTGTCTAAATCCGGCATATCCAAAACTGTAGATGGTGCTCCCAGTAATGGTTTTGATCTGGCCTCCACAGGCCATACGTCTGTGCTTTCATCAAAATATTTCTTCAATTTCCGAGGAGTTGAAAATTGCAAAACTCTATTCTGGCTTGGAAACAAAACTTCTCTCAACCTAAAATTACAAATGAACTTCTCAAAACAATTGAAGAATCACTTATTACGTGTTATATTATTTTGAAAGGCAACGCAAATTGATACCAAATCCATGTTAAATTATTGAATAATTTTTTGTTTTGTATTGGGTAAACGTGAGGAAGGTAAAGAACCACCAAAATCGAAATAAAAACAGTTCAATTATTGAAATCAAAGGTGAACAAATAGCTATTTATGATATGAGTGTTAAAATTAAGGTTTAATTTTGTGAGTGGAAAAGTTTGCAAAACGAGCGTAGCGAGCTGAGCATTATCACTCATTTTCAGTTGCTACTTTTATCGGATTATATAGAGCCCGCTGGCGTGAAGAGCTGTGCCATTTATGGACAGAAGACAATAAATTAATGGATAAATCATTGATTGTTCAAATTCCAAGTACAAAAACGAAAATAGGTCGTTCTTTTTGCATTATTGGAAAAGCATTGACTATTTTAATGAATGCGTTATATTTCGCACTCCTGTTATCAATCATCAAGGTTTTTTTTGAAATACTGAAATTATAAATGCAGTGCCAACCCAGTTGGTTTGAACACGTTTGAGAAACTACCCTCTACCATTGCTGAGTTTCTGAACCTCCCGGAACCAAAGGAATATAGAGGTCATGTTTCAGAAGGTTTTCTGCTTCTCTGCTAGTAGAATCAGGAGCAAATATAAGGGATATTAAGAAGCACGGAGGATGGAAGTCTACAACATTAGCTGAGGGTTACATTGATTAATCCATTTCTTATAAAAAGGCTATTGCTGAAAGAATAATCTCAACAGTTAGCTCCAGTATTACAGCATCGTTCTTTTCACTTGAAGAATTGAATATTAATGCCCATGAAATTGCCAACTCAGCTAGTTCAAATATATTGGCTCTTCAACATCGCGAGATATTAATATCAGCAGTGGTTCTGATTGTACTTTTTCAATAATCATAATAATAACGTAATTGATTTATATAATACATTTGTAACAGAATAATTGTATTGTAGGTTCTAAGGCATGATCCATGCAGGGCGGGGACGGGCCTCATCGTGCATAAAAATGAAATTGTGGCGTCCTGCTTCTGCTCTCTGACGTATATGGACATCCAATATCTCATCAATGCACCTTTGGTTGGTCAGGGATCCGTTACGGATGACTACAAGGTCTGTACGATCATTGAGTGATATTCCAACCCACACAATTATCATTCCACCTCCAAATAGGACCTTTGAAAATGAGCAGCAGGAAATAAAAACTTTATTCCTTCCTCTGTATTCTCTGGTTCAATCAGTATTACCAAAAAGAGTGAATGTCAAAGGTCACATTATTATATTTATCATAAAACTCATTCTTGTACACGATCATTACAAAGTAGTGATTCTTTAATTGTTTTGAGGAGTGTAGATCGTCAGAATGTTTGTCTTCGGAATCCTTCTGAAAAATTTACTGATGCAATTCACTGTGCATCTCACTAGAGGGAATTGAAACTTTCTATTTGTTTTACCACCTTTATTTTTTGTAACTAACGTTACTGCAGTTCTGTCCTATAAGGACATTTTCAAACTTATACGTTGAACTAAAAATGAATCATTACATTAGTCCTTATATAATACCACTATAGGTAATAATAGAAGTACTTAGCTCAATTGAGTACCTGAATTTTGTTTACCTGTGACAATGTGGATACGCTGATATGAAAACCGTTGAGTAAACTAGATCGATTTGATCATTTAACAGGTTGCACCCGCAATGTTCATGCTCACGAACTTTCAAGGATTCCAAATAATTGACTTTGCAACCCTTCCCTGCATAGTGCGAAATTTCCGTTTCGTTTAGATTCGAGAAATTGTGGTTGCATCCCAAGGTTTAAAAACGGTCCCACATATACACTATTTATTACACTCCGGACACTTAAGCTTATAAACTCCAGATTTCTACAACTTGTCCACTTTATCTTTGGCTTTGAAAAAGAAATCAAATAACCTGGCATGTGGTCTAAATGCCCATTCCACATTCTTTTTCCTGAAGAAACCCGCAATTATCTCTGTTCTTTCACCAAAATATGTTAGAGTTACCCATTTCTTGATATCTGATTATTTGATCTGGGGGTAATTTAATCTGTTAGTGAATTTACGGCTTTATTTTCTGACTAACTTTCGGGTTATGTCTGCGTTGAAACCATTATTATGGCCTATCCGTGTAATTATTTTAAATTCTCTAGCTGGATTGTGAGCAGAAAAAGGTAGTGAGAATGCTCCGTGCAAAATTGAATTTTTGGCTGCTAATTTATGACTGTTTGGATGGAAAGAATCACTTGGGATGATAATGTCTGTATAGCTATGTTTTCTGAATATATTGAACTCAAATTCATTCTAAATGTGTCCATTGGTCAGGTCTAAGAAATTTATCTGTTTCTCTATCTCTATTTCAAGTGTGAACTGAATGTTTCTACTGAGATTATTCATGAATGTCATAAATTGGTTCAGCTATCGTGTAGTACCTCTGAAACAGTCGAGAATATCGTCTACATATCTATAACAAAAATTAATTTGTTTTTCACCAAGGTTTATTACAGTTCATAAATTTGTTTGCTAAAAGTGGACTAAGAGGTGAGCCCATTGGTAAACCTGAATCTTGTTTATAAAATTTGTTGTTGAACTGTGGGCGACTCTTATTTAAGCACACATCGAAAGCTGTTGAAACTTCGAAGGAAGTGATGAAGCTTGATCTAATATGTCTAAAACGAGGGGCTTACACTCGTTGTACGGTATGTTGAAGAAGTCATAGAATTTTTAATGCTGTGAAGGGAGACGAAATTGGTAATATTTCTGAACAACTTGTTGAGACGTATTCCTAGTTCTCGTATCGGACTATTTATATACGAAAATACCGGTCTTATGGGGTTATCAGGCCATATAGTTTCAGACTGTTCATCCAGACAGTCATAAATTAGCAGCCTACAATTCAATGTTGCACAGAACTTTCTCACTACCTTTGTCTGGTAATAATCTAGGTAATTGATATAATTACACAGATAGGTTATAATAATGGTTTCAACACAGATACTATCCATAAGTAAGTCAGAAAACAAATCCGTAAATTCACTTACAGATTGCTATACCCCCAGATCAAACAATCAGAAATCAAGAAATTGGTAACTAACATATTTTGGTGAATGAAAAGAGATAATTGCGGGTTTCTTCAGGAAAAACAATATGGAATTGGCATTCAGACCACATGCCAGGTTATTTGATTTCTTTTTCAAAGCCAAAGATAAAGTGGACAAGTTGTAGAAATCTGGAGTTTATAAGCTTAAGTGTCCGGAGTGTAATAAATAGTGTATATGTGGAACAATGTGGTCGATATTTCTCAAACCGATATGCTGAACAGATTAAGTGAAAATGATTTGACATTTTCAAACCATTCCTTGGCATGCGACCACAAGTTTCCGAATCTGAACGATACGAAAATTTGCACTATGCAAGGAAGGGTTGCAAAGTCAATTATTTGGCATCCTTGGAAATTCATAAGCATAAATATTGCGGGTGCAACCTGTTAAATGATCAAATCGATCTAGTTTACTTACCGGTTTTCAAATAAGCGTATCCACATTTCCACAGATGAACAAAATACAGGTACTCAATTTAATTAAGTACCTCTGTTATTACCTACAGTGGTGTTATATAAGGGCAAATGAGAGTGGTAAAAACATAGCAAGTTTAAATTCTCATTTTTTTCATGATGATTTCCCACCACGTAGTAATGGCTGCATCCATCAATTTATTAAAAATAGTACGTATTTCACTGGTGAAAACAGGTGATACCAAATCAATAAATAAATGAATATAACCTAAAACTTATTTTATAGGTAATGATTTCAATGAAAGTAAATATGTATGGATGAATTCAATTTTAGTTTTGCAAATTATGTTGCATAGTTAGGAAACAAAGTAATTTTTCTATTTGTTTCTTTTTCAGAATTGTTTCAATTGTAAAATTAACAGATTGTCACAGAGAAATGAAATAACGAAATGAGCCTCGACCAGTTTCGACGTGAGTTACCACCATCTAGAGTTGTCTTCTCCTGATGATGCTGACCTGATTAGCGAAATTGGCGACGAGAGACAGTGCCTCTGTTCTGGTGTGGAAAAAGTACTGTCATTAAATTCAATAAATCTTTTTACACTGGAACAACCCTTCACCAACTCGTAGTTTCGGGAGAATAACTCACGAATATTATCTCATATCTTAGTCATCGAGGGATCTGTTTGAGCTCAATCAACAATGAAACAAAAAAACAATATTCAACTCACTCATTTCGGTATTTCTGAGCATTATATTTATTTTTGGCAGTATTGAGAAACACGGCATCTTCATCAATTGTTACACTAGAATTTTGGGAGAGACTGCTACTTTCTTCTTCGTAGTCAATTATATGATATGAACATTCAAAATCTGTAACATCTCTTCTTGGGATGAATCGGTCCGGAAACCCTCTGGGTTTTAAGTGCTTCTGAAAAAATGAAGACACAGTTTTCACAAATGAAGATTTTGATTGAAAATACTTTTATAAGTAACATATACAGTGTGTAAAAACCAAACGAAATATATTCATTTTTTCAATAAGACAAATGTGGCCATTTTCTTTGATAGCTACACAGGCGTCTCAAGTAAGCATAAACTTTATGCAAAAGATATTTGGAATATCGACGAAACCGGAGTAATTACCGTCCAGAAACCTGATAGAATAATAGAACAACGCGGAGAAAAACAGGTCAGTGCCATGACATCTGCAGAAAGGGGGACTTTGGTCACACTGGCTTTAGCTGGAAATGCAATAGGTAATTATATACCACCTATGTTTGCATTTCCACGCAAACGATTCCAAGAGCATTTAATTAGGGACGGTCCAACTGGTTCAATCGGAACAGCTAACGGATCAGGTTGATGCAAGAGGATGATTTTCAAGTTTTCCTTGAACATTTTAAAATTTTTAAAGTCACTTTAGACCATCTTAAAAGCACAGAGCTCTGTTGCTTCTAGATAATCATGCTTCGCATACATCACTGAAAAACATTGAGTATTGTAGAGAAAATGGGATAATTTTACTCACTTTTCCCCCACATCGTACGCACAAGCTTCAGCCCATAGATCGTGCTATTTTTGGACCTTTAAAAAAAGCAATCAATAGAGCGTGTGATAATTGGATGCGAAGCAATGCTGGCAAAGTCATGACCATATATGACATACCATCAATTGCAAAGTCTCCATTTAATATAGCAATCACTGCAAGCAATATCAGTGCTGGTTTTGCTGCAACTGGAACGTGGCCGGTTCACACAGACATATTTGGAGAATCCGATTGGCTGCCAAGTCAAGTCACTGATCGTCCTAACTCCAGCGGAAAGCATCACAACTTCAAATCTCAACACCGACACAGTTGATAATGATGGAGTAAGAGCCATCATCTCTAGAAATTCATCAGTTGTAAATTAAACCAATGAACCTGTTTTCTCTACGTCTACAGCCCACATATCACAGTTCTGAATACTAAACCCATTGAACCCATTGCATCCACGTCCCCGCCAAGAAAAAACAGCCAAGCGAAAAGATAGATAGATAGAAGCTGATAGGAAGTCGAGAAATGTGAAGAGGAATATCTTAAGTGCAGAAAAGAAGAAACCTGATAAAACCAAGAAGACTAAAAAGAAGTAGAGAACAGGTGATGACGAAGGAGAGGCAGAAAATAATTACTTTTGCTTGGATTGCCTTAAAGCCTGTGCAAACAGCAGATCAAATGAGAAGTGGGTCCAATGCCTAGAATGCAAAGGTTGGTCACACGTTGATTGTACTGGAGACGAGCTGCAATATATTTGCCATAATTGTTTATCAGATTGAAAAAAGATTTTTGACTGGATTATTTTGTGATTGATCTCAAAATCATGGCATAATTGCTTGTAAGATATAATTACTTAATATAGAAATGTTTTTATTATAAAACAACGATGAAAATAAAATAAAAACAACAATGAAAATTATTTGGCGCTCCGGGGCGACTTCATTGATTCCAGTGGCGCATTTGCTTTTTCAGCTGCAGGAAAACCCGGAAAAACCTGCAGCACCACATCATCTGAAGATCTTGATCTAACAATGTCCTCTCTCTTATAAAACTTGAAGATAGTATACATACCGAAGTGAATGAATTTTGTAGTTTTTGTAAATAAAAAAAGTCAAATAATACAAATCTAGGAAGTTTTGTCTGTAATAATGAGTTTGTGGACGAAGATAAAACTGCCGACGTATTTGCAAAATTCTTTTCGTCAGTCTTTTGCTCCGAACCTGCAACTTATAACATGCATTTCAAAGGTACACATAATGGTACAGGAAGTTGTAATGAATCATTCAACATAGACTCTATTTGTGAGACTGACTTCGATGCAGCAATGAAAAAGCTGAAATCCAAGAAGACAGAAGGAACAGATGGTATTCCTCCTTATATTTTGAAAGGCTGTAGTTGATTCATTCCCAACTGCTTGATAAACTTCTATAACCATACCAATACACAAGTCGGGAAACAAAATGGATGTGGAAAATTATGGGGCAATTTCCGTAATGTGTGCTCCAGCGAAACCAATCATTTTTATCAAACTCAGCAATTACACTCATAAATATATAGTACCACAACAACACGGATTCCTGAGACAAAAAACAATCAGCACTAATCTATCGATATTAAGCAATAAGGTTTTTGACACGTTAGAAAATAAATCACAGTTGGATATTATTTTCACGGACTTCAGAAAGGCATGTGATCAGGTGCATCATGACTTACTCCTAGAAAAGCTTAGTGGCTATGGACTGTCCAGAAATTTGCTTGAATTGATGAAGAATTATCTTCAAAAACGATACTTCACGGTCAAACATAATGGAAATACTTCAGGAAAATTTCTGGCTAATTCTGGAGTTCCACAAGGCTCGAACCTAGGACCGCTTCTGTTTTTACTTTTTATTAATGATTTGTCTTCCACTCTTGAATTTTCGAAGTGCTTACTTTTCTGCAAACTGTTCGAGGCTGTATAGGTCTGCAGAGAGATATTGATGAAACCATGGATTGGAGTCTAAGAAATGAATTATATTTTAATTTAAAAAAATGTTCTGTACTCTCAATCATCCGTATTAAAGAGCCAATTCTGTTTGAATATGAAATGAAGGAGAGATCCCAGAGAGAAAAACTGGAATAAAGGATCTTGGTGTTATCTATAATTCACAATTCAACTTTTCCACTCACATTAATAACATGATTGAGTTCGCTAATCGTATTTTCGGTTTTGTTATTAGAAAAACATCGAATTTTGCCAATATTAACACCATTAAATTAATATATTATTCCCTGGTCAGGCCTAAACTAGAATTTGCCTCAATTATTTGGTCCGGGGAATATCAAACATACTTAAATTGATTTGGAAAAAGTACAAAACAAACTGTTGAGATATTTGTATTTTAAAAAGTAGCACGTGTGGCCTAATTATAATACCGTCAGGACATATCAATTAAGATCGGAATTCAAGATACTATCCTTAGACCAGAGACGAATTTCAACATCAATGATATTCCTGTATAAATTAATGAACAATTCAACAAATTCCCCAGAAATCCTCAATATGTTTCCATTTAATGTACCTCCACGGTGTATACGTTCCGCACCAATGTTTAATATCTCTGTAATATGTACATCATCGAGAGCACCTCTTTTAACTATGATTAATTAACAAACAATTTCAATCTGCTTATGGATTTAGATTGGACCTTACCTCTATCAGTTTTTTTTAAAGCAATTTTAGAACAAATATTGAATTCAACTCTGTCAAACTGAACATATATTTGACGAATCCACTCAGTGCAGTTATGGACGACTCCCTGCTATCAATAGGTAATAGTTTAGTAATCAAGATCTATATTTAATAGATATCATTGTAGTGTATTTGCCAACATCCATGTAATTAGTCTATAATGGACTGTATGGGTAAAAAATACAAATAAAAAAAAATAATAATAATGAAGGCTAATGAACATGGTTCAGTTTTCGACACTGACAACTCTGTCACCAAGTTGGAAATCGGCAAGCATGAAAGCAGCGGAAATTTCTTTACTCCTGCAGCAAAACAACGGTGATCAGCATGAGCTGGTTTGCCACACTGAGGGAGATATCTTGGCTGAATAAATGCTAGCTGCACAAATACAGAAGGCTGTCACTCATGGCAAAATGATCGCTTAACTCACATTGTGAGGGTGAGGAGCACTATTTGGTTGATGATGCTGGCGCGTTCTCTTGCTATATAGGAGCTTTGAAGACAGGGCCGAACCAGCGCAAACTTCAAGGTTGATGAAGTATTATTATTTTTGTGATGATTACGATAAAAATGATATTGATATCGAGATTATCACTTCGAACCCCACAAAGTATATCCAGATCACTCTGTTGGGATGGTTGTGCAGCTCATTCGAGTCCTTGATGTACTGGTGCTCTCTCTGCTCTTGAATCTCTATATCATGCCGGCTTGCTGCACTAAGAAAAAAGTTTTAGCCGAACGAATGCAGGACTGTTGTTCGTGCTTCATTCCGTCTTCCTAGTTTAAATATGTAGGGTAGAGTGGGGTAATTGCGTACTTGGGGCAAATGTGTACTCATTTGAAAAAAGGAGGAAAAACTGAAGCTAGCTGCTATCTAGTGGCGCCATTTGGAAGCCTGTAGTTCAGTGATCACTTCTCAGATGGCTGCACCTATGTCCAGATAATAAGGCTTTATCAATCTGCCTCCATTTCGTCAGGTGTTTTTTTTTCCTTATGAATCACATTTCGTGGACTTCTGTTTACAGTGCTGCAGGATCACCATTTTCAGCTAGATTTGATTAGTTCTTGGATAAATCACTTGAAGGTAAGTTGTTTTCTTCATTAATAGCTGCAGATTAGTTGAATTAATGTTTACCTGTACATTATGTTGGGCTATACATTTACCCCGGTTTGTTTTCAGTCACGAGGTAAATGTGTATTTTTTCATAGGGTGAATGTGTACTACAGCATACATTTACCCCAAGCAAAATTTACATAGAATACACATTCACCCACTCCTTATGAGACTTTTACAATCTTATTAGGGCTTATATTTTTGTTCCCAAATGTTTGATTGACCTCCTCACAATAAATTAATTGATTCTGTTTGTGTTCAGGAAGAAGATGCCTCGAAAATATGTTGCAAAGAACATTCCTAAGAAGTACAGCACTGAGTTACTGGACCAAGTACTTGAAGACATTCGTCGAGGTACTATGACTGCCCACAGAGCACACCAGCTTTATGGCATTCCGAGGATGACGTTGTATTCAAGGCTTAACGGTACTAGAGGTAAGGAAAAAGGTTGTGTTCGAGGTAGAACGACTGCGATTCCAGCAGCTGAAGAAGAAAAACTCGCTTCGGCTTTGAAGACAATGGAAAAATGGGGTTTCGATTTGTCAAGAAAGGAAGTGTTGGAAATAGTAAAGTTGTATGTTGAGTCAAACAAAATTAAAACCCCTTTTACTGACAACCACCCAGGCGAAGACTGGTTCCTTAATTTCAAAGCTCGTCATAGGTTATCAATAAAAAAACCTGAACCCCTGGAATATGTAAGGAAAAAGACGATCCGTTTGTAGTGGGAGAATATTTTGACTTGTTGGAAGGAGTTTTGACCCAATATAAACTGCATGACAAGCCCCATTTGATATGGAATTCAGATGAGTCATCATTTCGCTCTGACCCTTCACGCACCAAAGTTGTTGGTGCCAAGAACACTCCCTCATCCCGTATTACTAGTGGAGGGGGGAAAGATAATACAACAGTACTGGCAGCATGTAACGCAGATGGCTCAAAGGCTCCTTCCCTCATAATATTCAAAGCTAAAAATATCTGGGATGAATGGTTAGCTCCTGTAGGATCAGGGTATCTAGGGACCTCATACACAGCAAGTGACAATGGCTGTATAACGACTGAAATATACAAAAATTATTTTAAGAAACATTTGAAACCTGCACTAGGGTCAGAGAGACCAGTGTTGGTAATTTATGATGGGCATTCCACTCACGTTAGTCCTGAAGTGATTGAAGAGGCTCTGGAAAAAAATGTCATTATTCTCAAACTCCCTCCCCACACTACACATTTTCTGCAGCCATTAGACAAGGCAGTATTTCGTTCGTTCAAAGTTAAATGGAACGAAAAACTCGTCACTTGGCAAAGAAAAAATTTAGGACGGAAAGTAAGCAAAAAAGAGTTTTCAATTATGTTGGGACAGACATGGTTACAGTTGTCAGACGATATAATAAAAAGTGGATTTGAAAGATGTGGCATCAGCCCTTTCAATTTGTTTCCAAGAAACAAATCTGACCCTCAAGCACTGGAAAGATGGGACCGCCATCAACAAAGCTTACGAGAAAACATTTCAGATCTCCCCACACCTTCCACTTCGACTCAACCTGTGCCACAGTCAGGACCTAGTATCCTACATACTTCAGTGGAAAATTCATCATTAGCTTCTATCGAAAACCACAGTTCAAGCAGCAAACAGAGTTTTGAAGATCTTCTCCTCGGTTGTGTGAAACAGACGCCAAAAGAAACCTCTACCAAAAAGAAAAAAAAAGGTAGCAAGCGGGGCTGAAGTGGTCACAACTGAAGAAACATTGAAAAGCATCCGAGAAGAAGCTGAGGCTGCTAGAGAAGCAGAGGAGAAGAAGAAGGAAAAGAAAAAGAGGCAAACAGCAGAGAAAAATAAAAATAAAAAACAGAAAAAGAAAGCCCCATCTCCTGAAACCTCGGATGATGAAATGAGTAGAATTAGTGACATCAGTCTTCGGAGCGAAAACTACCTGCCTAGTGATCCCGAAGAATGGTTCACTGCCCTACCTGATGATATCAATGAAGATAACGACAAGGAAGTTGAAATAGGAAACTGGGTTTTGGTGCGCTTTGCTACCAAAAAAACAATCAAACACCACGTTGGTAAGATTACTCAATTCGAAGGGCCAACTCCCATTGTGCAATTTGTGAAAAAAAAACGGAGAAAACACTTTCGTTTTCCCTCACTCTGAAGATATAAGCGAAATCGATGGCAATGCTATTGTCACCAAGCTTCCAGAGCCATCTGTGGAAGAAGAGGTGTTTTGATATTCCCAGTTGAATTTTTCTCCTACAACATGGGTTAGCAGAGTTGCTGGAGGTCTCACTCAAATTTTCTATTTTCATTTTGGCCAGGACTTGCCACTATAATTCTTTTTTTTTACCTAACAAGATACAAATTTTGACATGTTCTTTTCAATTTTGCTATTAAAGACGTTTTTTACCTTTTACTCCTATGCTTTGTACTTTGTTTTCACCTTTGTAAATCTCCCCACCAGAGGCTGAAGAAGTTGAATTTCGTCAAAACAGGTACGCAATTACCCCACTTCACCCTATTTACAAATTTCTGTGAAAAGTTTAGAGCATATGATAATGATGATGGGGAAGTTGCGGACACTACTTTGAGGATGTGCAGCTCATAGATGGAAGCATTCCGTACCATCTGGATGCCGGAGAGACGTACATCTACTTCGCACTGGAATAACGTCACTTACAGGAGATAACTGCATTGAAGAACTCTCTCCGTGGCGAATATCAGCACAAACTCTGTCAGATCTGATCATTGGAACTGTTGGGAAAGGACACTGTTGCTATAACGAATATGCTTGCCGTTTCAGTCTCACTCTAATCGTTTGAACTAGTGGAGTGGAGGAGCTGTATCAACTCGACGTAAAGCCCCAAAAATGATTCACCTTAATAGGAGTTTGCAACCCAAATCGTTCATTCCATAGTTGTAGTGTCTACATGACAGAATGATACTCGATGGAGCCTGTACAGTCATCGAGAGTTCGGATCTCCTTCTCTGCATGGTTCGCGACTAGGTAGTGGAGCAGCATTTTCCTTCAGGGCAGCTGCACAAGCAGCTGGTGTATTCGGTTTAGTTTTCGACACTAAACGAGGTCACCTAGTTGGAACCCGTTTAGAAAAGGCCTATATGGAAGCCTAAGAGATCACTCCACTCCCGCAGCAACACCAGAATACGCCAATGCGTGGGGTCTTCGCAATAACAATGTAGACCTTGACTTCCCCTTTTCCCAGGTCGAGTGAGTTGAAGTCGAAAGCTGAGGGGTTTATCATGGCCTGTCAGAATGGTGTTATCAACACCAGTCTACCGCAGTCGCGTGACGGCACAAGGAGTATAGCCTACCGTGAGGCAGACAAAGTTAACTTCGTGTTTTTTTGGTCTGAACAATATAAAATTGAATTATCTTTCATTTTATTTGGAATTTTTATATAGCTAACCTAAATAGTTTTTCAGATATTGGTTATTTCAATAATGAATTCTTATTTCAATGCATTCTTTGATTCACGATATCTTTGTAACGACATTTATTCGATTCGTCAACAAAATTCTGGTTGACAGAAGTTATACTTCACTTCATCGAAAATATTTACTGTTCACCATTTACATTCATATTCTGACAGTAGTTCATTAAACAGACTCTACATTTTTTTATTATTCAAGTGAAACAACATCGAAAAAAATCTCAAACACAAATGTATTGAATTCAAAGTAGATGCTCGAAATGACAACCATCCTGTTGCATACAAAGATACACTCTCTTTATGAAAGACTGTTTTGGTCTATTCGCGTTTTCATAAGCTATACTCCAGCCCTACGAATTTCATGTAGCAATCGTTTGAAAATCAACTTGTTTGGATGATTCCGGTCTCGATATTTTTGGGCATACACCCTCGACGCCAAAATGCAAATTCTCCAAACACTCAACAATCAATACAAGGTGTTCTATTTGAAATAACAAAGTTATCTTTTTCAGAAATTATATAAATGTGACAATGATTTTGAACATTCTGTATGATATTGAGAAACGGATTTCATCGAGATCAATAGTCAGAATTCGAAAGGATGATTTCTATACAATTCGATGTTATATACTTCTCAATTGTACCTAGCATTTTCATAGAAAATCAATAAATCGAGGACGGTTATGGTTAGGTACATAGTACCTCTCACGAAATCATTATTTTTTTCTGACCTATTAAAAAAAAGTAATGAAATACAGGATGTCCCATTTGAAAAATACAACTTCAATAGTTTACACTCTTTTGAGCCACCCTGTAGATTCTAAAATAATTTCCTTCTGTAGCCTTGTCCCCCCCCTTTAATTTTTGGAACGAGTCAACTCAAAAAATTGAAATTTGGGATTAGGAAATTAATTCATGAATACTTTATTTCGAAGTAAAATTGACAGATGAAACTTTCAAAATGGCGCCTGAGCGCCATCTAGGAAAACAATGTAATGGAGAGGTAGGTCTAGTGACACATCATTTTGAAGCTCCTGACGAATTCTTCACAACCCTAGAATATGAAGTCAATATCCTCACCTACTACAAAATGACGTAACATTTAATAATTTCCTGAAGACAAACACATTAATATCGATATTTCTAGATTATAGTCTAGGGTTGTGAAGCATTTGTCAGGAGCTTCAAAAAGATATGTCACAAGACCCCCCTTTCCATTAAATTTTTTCCCAGTCGCCCAGTCGTCATTTTGAAAGTTTCTGTCAATTTCACTTCAAAATAAAGTATTAAAAAAGACACTGTATAATGAAATGGAGAAATTCTCGAAAAAATGGTTTGGTTTACAGGAACCGTGTCGTATGGGGTGTCCCACCCTGTATGATATCCACGGTTGAGATATCGTCATCGAGTCGTTATCAGCTGCTCCATTGAAGAAATTGAACAACTCGTTCATTGATCATTGTATGTAACCCAGTTACCAGAACATCATAAAAAATTTCACTTTTTTCAAAAATTATTTTGAACTCTTTAAAAATAGACTGAACGTGGCTGAATGATATGAGTGAAGTGATATACCATGAGAGTTTTAGATATTCCCAATATAATACCATAGAAATGTTAATTTAAAAGTGTTGAACGATGAAATAAAAATATACAACTAAAAACTCAGTTACTTACAGAATAACGGTGCATGAGGTGAAATGTATATATCTACTTCAGACTCACATAAATAACGTTAGGATTCACAAGTGTTTTTTTCATTTCAGTTTTTTAGAACAAACGTCCAGAGACGGTTTCAGGAAACAATCACTATTCAGTTTAGGGCGATTGAGCACTTTTCTCTGACTACTATAAATTTAGTAGGATTTTCAGTTCGGTGCAGATGTAGAAGGGGTGAGCCAAAGTAAATTGATGAATGTAGCCGTTACTAAATGATAAGAAATCATTATGAAGAAAGCGGAATTGAAACTTTCTATGTTCTTTACACGGTTCAGTTTTCGACACTGACAACTCTGTCACCAAGTTGGAAATCGGCAAGCATGAAAGCAGCGGAAATATCTTCACTCCTGCAGCAAAACAACGGTGATCAGCATGAGCTGGTTTGCCACACTAAGGGAGATATCTTGGCTGAACAAATGCTAGCTGCACAAATACAGAAGGCTGTCACTCATGGCAAAATGATCGCTTAACTCACTTTGTGAGGGTGAGGAGCAGTATTTGGTTGATGATGCTGGCGCGCTCTCTTGCTATATAGGAGCTTCGAAGACAGGGCCGAACCAGCGCAAACTTTGAAGAGGCTCTGGAAAAAAATGTCATTATTCTCAAACTTCCTCCCCACACAACACATTTTCTGCAGTCATTAGACAAGGCAGTATTTCGTTCGTTCAAAGTTAAATGGAACGAAAAACTCGTCACTTGGCTAAGAAAAAATTTAGGACGGAAAGTAAGCAAAAGAGAGTTTTCAATCATGTTGGGACAGACATGGTTACAGTTGTCAGAGGAAACTTTCTATGTTCTTTACCACTTTTGTTTGTAACTAACGTTTGGTAAAGCAGTTTGATGTTAGGTTAGGTTAGGTTAGGTTAGGTTCAAAGTGAGTGGGTCTCTTTGACTCTCCATCGCAATCCGCAAGGGTTTATTCTGACTCAAATCTATTCATACCCGACCAAATGAACCCAACCTCTCAACGAAGCCGGTTAGTTTGTATGGTGAGTGGTAAGAGTACGGCTCTGCCGAACTCTAAAAACCTGATTCGGTCGCCAGCGAGGCAGGCATAAAGTATGTGCTTTGCTGTTTCATCATTTTCCAAACAGAGGCGACACGCACTGTCTTCCGACAGTCCATGTCTCTGCATATATGATGATTCAAATAACGGTGACCTGTTAGACATCGTAGTTCATCCCTATACTGTAGTCTAACAACTGTTTGGTATCGAGCTTCGAAGGGTGACTAAACGCCTTGGAGTAAGTCAATCCTAGATGATTCTGCCATCTTCTTGTCATTCAGAGGTTGAATCTTCGTTTGGCAAAGCCTAAAGCGATGCTAATGACAGGTTCTTGTGCGATGATGCTGCCTGCAGCACCCTCCTTTGCAAAGGAGTCAGCAGCCTCATTGTTTTCCAGGCCAGTATGGTCAGGAATCCAGACCAGAGACAATCTGTTAAGTGTTCCTATTGAGGAGAGTCGTTTTTGGCAATTTGCTATCAATTTAGACGTTGCTCGGTAGGAACTAAGAGCTTCCAACGCCGCTGGATTGGCCGAGAATATTTTTATTGACATGTGTATGAGGTTGGATTCTTCCAATCTCTCAGCAAACAACAGGCCTTTTCATCACCATTTTTTTGTGCGCATGCGTCAGTATCAGCCATCTTTTTCGTACTGTTTTTTGTAAACAACCATGTTAAAGAGCCCGCAACTCATGTTTTAAAAATGCTGGTTTTGCTGCAACTGGAACGTGGCCGGTTCACACAGACATATTTGGAGAATCCGATTGGCTGCCAAGTCAAGTCACTGATCGTCCTAACTCAGAACTAGAGCAATCTGTCTCAGAAACTGTGGACAGTCCAGCGGAAAGCATCACAACTTCAAATCTCAACACCGACACAGTTGATAATGATGGAGTAAGAGCCATCATCTACAAATCTACAAATCAGACTATGTCATCTAGAAATTCATCAGTTGTAAATTATACCAATGAACCTGTTTCCTCCACGTCTACAGCCCACATATCACAGTTCTGAATACTAAACCCATAGAACCCATTGCATCCACGTCCCCGCCAAGAAAAAACAGCCAAGCAAAAAGACGCAACATCAAATCTGCTGTACTTACTGACACACCTGCTAAAGACGAAATATCTGCTATAGAAGCTGATAGGAAGTCGAGAAATGTGCAGAAAAGAAGAAACCTGATAAAACCAAGAAGACTAAAGAGAAGTAGAGAACAGGTGATGACAAAGGAGAGGCAGAAAATGATTACTTTTGCTTGGTTTGCCTTGAAGCCTGTGCAAACAGCAGATCAAATGAGAAGTGGGTCCAATGCCTAGAATGCAAAGGTTGGTCACACGTTGATTGTACTGAAGACGAGCTGCAATATATTTGCCATAATTGTTTATCAGATTGGAAAAAGATTTCTGACTGGATTATTTTATGATTGATCTCAAAATCATGGCATAATTGCTTGTAAGATATAATTACTTAATATAGAAATGTTTTTATTTTTTTTTAACAACTCATCTAGGTACTTGTCACAACTTACCTCGATGATAGGAGGATTGTGACAGGAGTAATAATTTATGAATTAGTTGATTTTCTCAGAATCTATAATACTTTAATTGATTTTGATAATTCTTTTGCAAAGTGAAGGAATGATGCTACATTGATTCACATAGATCATCACTGAGGAATGTTGCTTGGGCAAGATATGGCCCTTAGAGTAAAAAGTGTCACAACTCTCCTGGGTCTCCCCTACCTGTCATTCGACGGGGATTGAAGGTAGGCGTAGCATTTTCTGTTGAAGTTTATCAAAGTATAACTCAAGTTTGACGAGTTTCGGAATTTTGTTAAAATATATACCGTTACTGAAATGAAACATGAAATGATTGTTCGAATCATAGAAAACCTATATAGAATGATACCTACACTACTATCTGATTTTAAAATCATACTGGCTTGCCTCAAAATGGCAGAAATCTCGACCAGATAGATGCTTTTCAGGGCATACGATCATTGGATACGATGAAGATCTACTTCACGGTTATGGAGAGTGGCTAGTGGTTAACGATGTTGGCATGCCCTCTGGATGTGTCAGCAATCTCTTCAGAGTCGCAGAGGATTTATTATAAAAAATTGAAGATAGTATACATACCGAAGTGAATGAATTTTGTAGTTTTGTAAATAAAAAAAAGTCAAATAATACAAATCTAGGAAGTTTTGTCTGTAATAATGAGTTTGTGGACGAAGATAAAACTGCCGACGTATTTGCAAAATTCTTTTCGTCAGTCTTCTGCTCCGAACCTGCAACTTATAACATGCATTTCAAAGGTACACATAATGGTACAGGAATTTGTAATGAATCATTCAACATAGACTCTATTTGTGAGACTGACTTCGATGCAGCAATGAAAAAACTGAATCCCAAGAAGACAGAAGGAACAGATGGTATTCCTCCTTATATTTTGAAAGGCTGTAGTTGGTTCATTCCCAACTGCTTGATAAACTTCTATAACCATACCAATACACAAGTCGGGAAACAAAATGGATGTGGAATATTATAGGGCAATTTCCGTAATGTGTGCTCCAGCGAAACCAATCATTTTTATCAAACTCAGCAATTACACTCATAAATATATAGTACCACAACAACACGGATTCATGAGACAAAAAACAATCAGCACTAATCTATTGATATTAAGCAATAAGGTTTTTGACACGTTAGAAAATAAATCACAGTTGGATATTATTTTCACGGACTTCAGAAAGGCATTTGATCAGGTGCATCAGGACTTACTCCTAGAAAAGCTTAGTGGCTATGGATTGTCCAGAAATTTGCTTGAATTGATGAAGAATTATCTTCAAAAACGATACTTCACGGTCAAACATAATGGAAATACTTCAGGAAAATTTCTGGCCAATTCTGGAGTTCCACAAGGCTCGAACCTAGGACCGCTTCTGTTTTTACTTTTTATTAATGATTTGTCTTCAACTCTTGAATTTTCGAAGTGCTTACTTTTTGCAGATGACTTAAAACTCTTCAAACGTATTCAAACTGTTCGAGACTGTATAGGTCTGCAGAGAGATATTGATGAAACCCTGGATTGGAGTCTAAGAAATGAATTATATTTTAATTTAAAAAAATGTTCTGTACTCTCAATCATCCGTATTGAAGAGCCAATTCTGTTTGAATATGAAATGAAGGGAGAGATCCTAGAGAGAAAAACTGAAATAAAGGATCTTGGTGTTACCTATAATTCACAATTCAACTTTTCCACTCACATTAATAACATGATTGAGTTCGCTAATCGTATTTTCGGTTTTGTTATTAGAAAAACATCGAATTTTGCCAATATTAACACCATTAAATTAATATATTATTCCCTGGTCAGGCCTAAACTAGAATTTGACTCAATTATTTAGTCCGGGGAATATCAAACATATTTAAATGATTTGGAAAAAGTACAAAACAAACTGTTGAGATATTTGTATTTTAAAAAGTAGCACGTGTGGCCTAATTATAATACCGTCAGGACATATCAATTAAGATCGGAATTCAAGATATTATCCTTAGACCAGAGACGAATTTTAACATCAATGATATTCCTGTATAAATTAATGAACAATTCAACAAATTCCCCAGAAACCCTCAATATGTTTCCATTTAATGTACCTCCACGGTGTATACGTTCCGCACCAATGTTTAATATCTCTGTAATATGTAAATCATCGAGAGCACCTCTCTTAGCTATGATTAATTAACAAACAATTTCAATCTACTTATGGATTTAGATTGGACCTTACCTCTATCAGTTTTTTGTAAAGCAATTTTAGAACAAATATTGAATTCAACTCTGTCAAACTGAACATATATTTGACGAATCCACTCAGTGTAGTTATGGACGACTCTCTGCTATCAATAGGTAATAGTTTAGTAATCAAGATCTATATTTAATAGCTATCATTGTAGTGTATTTGCCAACATCCATGTAATTAGTCTATAATGGACTGTATGGGTAATAAATACAAATAAAAAAAAACAATAATGATGAATGCTAATGAACACGGTTCAGTTTTCGACACTGACAACTCTGTCACCAAGTTGGGAATCGGCAAGCATGAAAGCAGCGGAAATTTCTTCACTCCTGCAGCAAAACAACGGTGATCAGCATGAGCTGATTTGCCACACTGAGGGAGATATCTTGGCTGAACAAATGCTAGCTGCACAAATACAGAAGGCTGTCACTCATGGCAAAATGATCACTTAACTCACATTGTGAGGGTGACGAGCAGTATTTGGTTGATGATGC